GTTGATTGTTCTTACTGCCAGAAAATTTCTCCTTATTTCTAGATTAAATCTCTCCTTAATCAGTTTTCATCCATTGTTCCTTGTCTGGCCATCAGATTCTTTGGAAAATAGTTTTCAATATGCTTCTTTTTCATGGCCATTAGATTGGGACTGGCTGATGGCTTGGGATTTGACTATATTTTATTTGAAAGATTTGAATTTTGATTTATGAAGAACCCTATTTTTTATTATGGTCAGGCAAATGTTCAGACTGGATTTGGCATTTTTATCTATCAAGCCCTTCCAAAGACCTGGGATACAGTGGGATAGGCAGATGTTATTGTTTGATAGATGCAAGCTGTTCCAAGTAAAGTTACCCTTTGCAATTGACTGATGATTTTGTCAATGCCAGAGGTGTTCAAATAGTGCTCCAAATGTTTTGGGATTATAGCCAAGGTGCCTATTACTATTGGTAGTATCTTTGTTTTCTTTTGCCTCAGAAATTCTACTTCTATTTGCAAATTTTTGCATTGTTATTTTTTCCTGTTCTTTTCTATTCTGCAAACTCCAGGAGCTACTGTCTCCACTATCTAGATATTTTTTGTCTTTTTAAAAAGTTATATTTGGGGTGTTATTTAGTAGACACTTTTCTGTTTGAATTCTAAGGTTCTAGAGCACTTTAGCTACTTGATTTTCTATTACATTATTTCTTTGATGGTCCCATAAGTTCTTGCTTGCAAGCAAATAGTATTTCTTGCAGATATTCCAACTCACCATTTTTGCTAATTTGTTATACCAGTTTTGTGATCAGTCTGTACAATCTTCTTGTAGCAGCTAACTAGGTGTTTCACTGTTTCTTCAGTTCTTTGCAGTGACAGCATTTTTTGTTTGTTGCTGCATTATCAATTCTGGTTTTACAGTATATTATTGATTATTGAACACGCTCTACATGGGGCTGTCCTTGAAGAGCATCTGGAAGGTCCAGCTGGCACAAAATGCAGTGGCCCACATGGTTTTGTGCAGACCCCAGTGTGCACGTTTCTCCTCTCCTGCAGGAGCTGCATTGGTTGTCAATTTGCTTCCAGGTTTAATTCAAGGTGCTGGCTGTCACCTTTAAAACCCTTCATGGCTTGGCACCAGGTTATCTGAGGGACCATCTCTTGCCGGTCACATATACCCGACCCATCAGAGCAGGGAGGCAGGGAATGTTGCGGGTCCCATCCCTGAGGGAGATACACCAGGTGGAACCCAGAAGAAGGGCTTCCTCCATGGTGGCTCCCTCTCTCTGGAACATCATTCCCTCAGAGATTAAATGCCCCCCTCACTAATACTCTTCCGGAAGGCACTGAAGACCTGGTTCTGCCAGAGGGCCTGGGGAACCCAGAGTGGGATGGAGCCCATCTATTGGCTCATATGATCTGCTATTGTTGGGGTGCAGGGTGAGAGTTGGGAGGTGATTTTTTTTTCCAGATTTTGTTCTATTGTACTATTTGATTCTTTTTCTTAGTTTTTTATTCTTTTTTATTTTAAATATGGTTTTATATTCTGTAAGCCGCCTCGAGTCACCATGGGCAAATAGGCAGCAATATAAATTCAATCAATCAATCACTAAATAAATAAATAAAAAATAAATATGCATTTGTTCTTAAGGTTTGGTCTTAAGCTGCCAGATTTAGCTCCTCTGTCGCTTTGTTCCACTTTCCTTATGTTATTATCTATGGCCTATGGAAAAATTAGTCATCAGACTAATATCTTTCAGCACAAATGTTCTATGTTTATAATTATTTAATCCACTGACTAGTTTCTATGTTTAGATGTGTATATTTCACCTATTAAGACTTCTTAGCAGCTATGACAGCTATCATTCTGTCAGATTTTCAAAACAATATTTCCTGTCAGATTATTTTTTTCCTAATTGATCTGGAACCAATCCCGTAAAATATAATCTCCCCAAAATACTGGTAAAATCAATCAGATTTAAGGGCAAGGTTTATGACTGGTGGGTCACTCCAGTGACAGGGGATTTATTCAATTTTTCTCTAGAAAAATGTAGAGAAGATATCGTTCTCTTTGCTATCCTCTCCCTTGTCTGCACTTTCCAAATGGAAAAGGTAGTATATTAAAATCCCCTAGACAGGGAATAGTGCTAAGTACTGAATTGTCTAAAATCACACCAGTAGCTTGGTTAATAAAGGTTCTTTATTTTCCATTGCTTGCATTAGTAAAGTTTCTGTACTTGCCTGTCTTGCAATCATCACCACACAATTTTTAAAAAAACTATGAGCAAATAAGAAAAATGTTCTGTTAAATTTTAAAATTGAAAGTTACAAGACTTGTTTTTGTGAAGTACTTAAATAGATTTAAGCTTTCCTAGATTAAGAATATTCAACATTTTCTCTTTCAGCAGAATTATGTTTTGCCAAACTTCATACTTATTCATAATTTTGAAAATAATGAAAGTATTCCTGTAAAACAATTGATATTTCTTGCTAATTTAATGAGAAAAAGAAAGAAAATGACAAGACTAGAGAGGAATTAGAATATTAGAATGTTGAATGTAAATTCAGAAACAAAATTCTGGCTTAAATTTGGAATTCCTATCCTGCTGTTTTTAATTATTATTGGCCAAAAATGCAACTCATATAGAAGCAATTTTACTGGACTTTGAATTTAAAGAATGGTCTAAAATGAATATTTTTTTCTGACAGTGAAATATTAAATTAACAAGCAATTTAAATAAAATATGTTGTTTCTTTGTAACATTGAAACATTAAGCATGCAGAAATGTTTGAGCCATGTTCATAGTCCAGAAAGTTAATTTTATCTTAATATATTGGAGAATACAGTTTTGAATAAAGATGTGGGATAAAAAAATAAAAATAAAACTTGGAACTCAAGTTCTACCTGTGATGTTCTTCAGGCTTAATAATGAAAGAGCAGAATAAAAATAAAACAAAACAAATAAAACAAGTACCTCACAATTAACTGTTAAACTCTGCCTTTAAATATTTTAATTTCATAAATTATATAAGAAACAGGTATAAATTAAGATAAATAAAATGCATGAAGGTGTTTCATTTGGCACACATCAAAATATCTGAAAAAAAGCTGAAGATTCATGCCACCATAATATCTGAAAAATTATTTTATACACAAATAATATATTTGAACTGAAATGTCACACGGGAATGGGAAAACATACTTCACTTTTATTGTCTTTTAGGCATTAACGGCAACAATTAATTTGTACTGTAGATTTATGTAACAAATTCTGAATTCTGAACAGTAGAGCAGGCACCCCCCCCCCCCAAATAACAGTGATAAGTAGAATTTAGAAATGTGAGCGCTTTAGTCCTTTCTCATGGTGACACTGGATGCAGAATGTAAGTAAGCTCTTCTACTTTTTTCTCTTGAAGTTTCATTACAAGCATGGTCAAGCAGTTGTGTGAATAATTTTATTTATTAATAGAACAAAGATACCTCTTTTCCTAAATGGAAATACTTTTTGTATTTATTTTTATATTTCATATTATCCAAGGCCAAGATATAGCACTTTAAATCTCCCTCCCTCTTTCTTATCTTCATAATAGTTGAATTTTCTCTTATAGGTAGTGATTACTTCACATCAGAACAAATTATATATAATCTTTTTTGCATGTGTTCACATTTTATTTTGGAAAACAGGTGCTTAAAAATTTTAGAATCATTGTAAACAAATTCTAAAAAAAAGAAAAGGAGAAAAAAAATCACAGTATTTACATAGATTTCATAAATGGCTTAGCCATATAGAACACAAGACTTTGGTTTTATCCCCTTTTAACTTTGGTTTAACATTTATCAAGATTTGTTGTTGTTACATTGCCAAATAAAGCCTTAACCAGTGCAGAGAGGACTTTTTACACGATCTTCTATAATATTTGTATACACAATTGAATTTCTAGAACATTTCATGTATTTAATCCATGCCAATACATTATAGAAAGGTTTTATTTAAGATATTAGACACTACTGCCCAAACATTTAACATTTTACAAATTCACAACAGTTTTTCCCTCTCCTATGTGGCAAAATGCATTTCCTAATTTCCACCTCCATTTCTTTTCTAAGCAACTTTCCAATAAGCTAGACACTCATCCTTTTCCCAGATTCATAACCATATGCTTATTCTAATACTACCTTCCTGCTGGTAAAAAAAAGTCATTATGTACTCCCAAATGCTAGTCTTCTGCTAAAAGAGGAAACATTTCTAAACACTATTTGTCCTGATCTATCCAAATGTTTCTTTTTATGCTAATTTTCTAAAAAAATTCTCAAGCATAAAACAGGTCTACAAAGTTACAGTCTTGGGTGTAACTAAAGATACATAGATTTCATTTTATTGTTACAATTTCTGTACTTTTGTTAAATTATGTACCAGTTAAAAACACTAAAATCATCTCAAGGTGCAATATCTGTAGTGTTAACAAAAACACACACACATACACACAAAAATATATATATTCTATTTTGTGGAAAAATGCAGCTTAAGTATGACTACTTAAAAAAAGAAAGGAAAAAAATTATCCAATTATTTTTTTTCCTTTTTGAAATTTAAAAAACAAAGGTAATTTTAAGGCAGTGGATAACAAAAAAATTCTGAACTAATCCTTAATTCCAGTCATTCATACTATATATCATGTAATTGAAAAAACAATTGTTTTTCAGAATGCTATCAATAAAAAGATTTTACTGTCTAAAAAAGATTTCATAATTGACATTGGTATACACAATAACATGAGTCTTGAATAATACCTGATTACCCTTTGACAATTATGTACATGTTATTAATAGTTTAGCAGGTTTTTATTATATTATAAAGTGGTTAGCTTAATTTTTTTCTATTTTTCCCTTACAGATTTTTTAAAATATTTTTTCTTACAGTGATTTTTGAAAAACAGAAAGAAATGTTTCCTTTTTCCATAAGGCAGTTTCATAAATTAAATACTCACTGTGCAAAGTAGGAGATTTACTGATAGCAGTCAGAATTAGAAATGTACCTCTTTAAACGGTGCAAAAAACGATGAAAATAAAAACACTATACATCAGATTACCAGCAACTCCCAGAAGAAAGCCTTACAGTGTATAAAAATAGCTACGTAAAAAATTTACATAAAGGCAAACCAAAAGTAATCTTCAGTGCAGACATTTACAAAAAAATAATATATATATTCAAACTGAACACAATTTTTGACCTATTATTACGGCTGTTGCCAAAATTAGATTTGCTGAAATTTTGTAAGCTTGAGAAAACTGGATATATATTTTTTTGAAAAATTGAAACAATTATCTGTATAATACTTGAACCATGAAAAGCCGTCACATCTTCTTATATATCTTAAACATAATCCATGTTCATGCTTCAGTTGATCTATGTTTATTTTCTAAAAACAGAACAAAGACAGTAAATAAAGAAGATCCAGTACAAAGATGGCATAAATGGCACAGAAGGTATATGACTGAAATTTTATTTTTTAATGTAACCAGCAGTTAGTAAAGAAAGTTGCTCCATAACTGCTCATAATACTAGAAAGTTCTTGCTGATATATTATTTAAATTGAAAACTATCAGAGAAAGTAGGCAGCAAACATGAATAACTGAATAATGATAGTAGTGTGGAAATTAACAGCAAAAGCAAGATACTACATATCATATCTTGTTAGGATAACAATAGTTTCCAGAAATAGTTGGCCATGTAGTGTTTACCACTATTTTTAAGAGTTTTTGAGAAACTAGTTGAGAACATCCATACTGAACTCTCTTAACTTATACATTGCTTTGTGCTTATAAAGCAGATAACTAATGAAAATTCTTCTGAGGTTTAGTGAGGGAAACAAGACTGTGAGGAAAATTAATAGCCGTCTTCCAGTATTTGAAGTTTTGCCTTGAAGAAGATGAAGCAGAACAGTTAAGAACTTTCAGAAGTCAGGACAAGAAAATGCAGATTTACATTACAAAGAAACAAATTGTGATGTGACATCAAGAAAAAAAATCCTATTGGTAAGAATTGTATAAGAATAGAATAGACTATTTTGTGAAGTAAAAGACTCCATTTTAAACAGAGGTTGGATGGCTATCTGTTGAAAATGCAGTACAGATAGTCCTCGACCTATGACTGGCTGTTTAATGACTGAACTTGAAATGGACTTAAAACTGCTACTTACAACCCATATTTGAAGTTATGACTACTGCCATTCCTCAGTGATATGATCACATTTCAGAGGCTTGGCAACCAGTTTGCATTTATGGTTGCAGTGTCCCATGATCTTATGACTACCTTGTGATTCCACTTTACATCTATGGTGACTCACTTTATGACCATTATAAAACTGGTTATAAAATTTGAGTCTGGTCATATGATGCCTCAACTAATGATCTCAATGACATGACCAAAATTCTGGACTCCATTATAGTCATAAATCAGAAAGGTAGATTAGATGATTTATTATATATCTTCCAATTCTTACATGCTAATTCTATGAAGCCTTTCATTTAATCTCTTTATTGCATTGAAATGATTTTATATCTAATGTACTGCACCAAATAGGAACATAAGTATTTAGGATTTTCTTAAAATCAGGGTCTCCATTCATCCACAAGCTACTATCCAATAAAAGAGTTGTGTTCCAATTTCAGACTAAGGCAATCTGAAATATCCAAGAAGATAGCTGGGTTTTGTGTGATTACTGTTGCTATTTAAGATTTTAAGATGCTATATACTAAATAGAGCTAATATATTTTCGGTCAATTAAGATTTTTGGTAAGATTAAAAAAAAGTTCTAATCTTAATCAAACCTGTGTTTGGCGACATATTTATTACCTGCATCCTATCAGCCAAGAGATATATTAGTATACTGATGAATCTTTCTATACTAGTGAAATTTCCTAGTAATTTTCCATAATAACTAAATACTAAATACAAAATAATAGCCATTAAAATAATGAATAAAAAGGTTAAAATATTTAAAATATTTCAAAGCTCCCTTTAAAAGTCACGAAAGAAATCTGTTCCTCCAACTAATCAGGATATGTATTCCAAAAATTTAGAGTGGCTCCACTGAAAACCTGATCCCAGATAAGCCATAGTATCTAGAAGGGATCATACAAAGAATATATTTTCTTTTAGGTAACCTAGATCAAGACACTCTATAATTTTAAAATTATTAGGTAGCACTGCAGTATTTTTAACAACAAATATTATATGTTCTCTTTGATAAGTATTCCTGCTGCATTCTGTATGAAATGAAATCCATTATTCATACAAAAGTAGGCAGCCCATATAATTTAACACAATTTTCTTCCAAGAAAGGGCAAACTTGGTATTCAGCTAATTTTTAAAATTTTAATTTAAAATGCTTCTGGCTATTACCTCTATGGCGTAAACTAGATTACATTATCTGGCTCTAGGAAAAAGCTCAAACTCCTGATTATTGTGTCCTACTTCTTACTATTAACATGTCTGACTTGTCTAGAGTCAGACCCTTAATCCAATCCATTATCTTCTGAATTTGGCATTTGAAAAAACAAACAATTAGCTGAATTTGTTACAGAGAAACATGTTTGATATTATCAGGATCTTGAACATCATTCCACTCCACTTACCTAAGAGCTTTCTCAGCTGGAAAGCCTTAGATATAGAAAGGCAAGAAATACAAAGATGTCTGCCAAGAGAGCTTTATCTCAGTGGTTAGCTAAACAGTTCAATAGTTAAATAAAGTAGATTTGTCAAACTAAATTTTTAAAATACAGAAAAGTTTTGTCATTAACCCACTTTAATGAGTTAGCAACAGCCATATTGGAGTGATGATATAGGACAACCTTTATAATAGCCATTAATCTGCATAAGATCAGGCCCATGGAAACAGTAGTTCATTTCTTGTGGACTTTTAATAAGGACATCAGAGTATAATTGAGTACAGGTAGACTTTGACTTAAGTTTAAAGTTATGTCTGTCTCAGAAAAAGTGACTTATAATTCAACTTATGACCACTGTACCACTCTCATTGTGATCACAATTCAGGTTCTTGGCAACCAGTCATGTTTGTGATTGGTTGTAGTATCTGCAATCACACGAACACATTTTTTTTGTTGATTTTTGACAAAAAACACCCATTGGGAAAGCTGGATTCAGTTAACAACCACATGATTTGCTCAACAACAATGCAATTGAGATTCACTTAATGACTGCTATAAAACTTGTCATAGAGTTGGGTCTGACTCAACTTACAATTAGGGAAATTCCTGTCCCAATTGTTGTTTTAAGTCAAGGATCACCCATATATACAGTCAATTTGGTGTCAGTTTTTCATAACAACAGATTTTTCTTTAAGAGGATCTGTTTCCAACCTACTTCTTCAGGAACTCTAATTGATAGCATGATATAAATCCTGATTAACAGGTAAGTTTCCAGGCCATTTGGACTCATTCTATATGTATAAAGACTATTTACGCATAAAGACTGGCCAAGAAATTGTGCATCTGTAAAACAGGGAGGCATCTTCTCTTCCATAATAGGACCATTTTAATTAATATTTGAATAGCTATTACTTCTGCCTAAAAATTATAAGCCATGTTACACAATAGTCACAATGTGAAATGACAGAAAATGTAACTAACTGGCATCCACACTGTAATGTAAGAGAATTATCCATAAAATCAATAAAACTTTCACAGTGAACCTTGAACTTTCTGTGATCAAATGTAGTATTTCAGAAATGAACCTTTTCTTTGAAATGGCACAAAATTAGCGCATTGGAATGAATCAAATTGTTCATCTAGTCTTCCTCACTGCCAACATAGATAATTAATATTTCCTCCTGGTGGTATATTTGAAACTTGGAATGAGTTCAATCAACCACTTGCAAGGCATTCTTAGTTCATTCAGTGGGTATAAATCAGAAGTATTTTTATTGTGATAGCTACAGTAACAAAATTTTGTAGTCTGAATGTGCTTTCATTCTCTCTTTTTATTTACATGTGAACTAGAGAGAGGCTTTTCTGAGACATTTTCTCAAATTAGTTTCTTAGCCTGGATGAAACCCTGCTTAATTAACTGTTGACAGGATAGTAACTTTTCCTCCTTTTTTCCAAGGGTACTTCTTATGCCTTCTAAAGGATTGTCTAAGACAGAACTGGTTGAATTGGCTAGAAAGTGTAACTTACAGTACATTTTAGAGCATCTAAATGGGGGAAAATGAGAGCAAACTATTGCTATGGAAGGCACTTTAAATTTTAAATGGCTAGACTTGGATTTCTCTTGATATAAATACATATAAGAAATCCCTTATCCTATAATTTCATTAGTGTAAGGATTAAATTATATCAAGAGGAGATAATACACTATAAAATTTTTAAAACATACCTGGAATGGCCAAATAGTTTGGTGTTTCAAGCTTCCAATTTATGATTGTTTTCTTCTAATTTTTTATTTTCTTCTATATTTCCAAGATCTTTAGCTACATGTTTTGAAGCTGATCTGAAACAGAAATAAAAATACTAATGTTTCATCTTGCTGTTATTATTATATCCAATTACTGGATAGATGCACACCATTTTGACTTCTGCAACATAAAATTGTTCTACTACCAACACAGGAATCTGATTTTATTGGCAAATGAAAGACTCTAAAATAGTGAATCCTGGAATAATGTACACAGAGTGATAACTTTCAAATTCCATTTTGCTCTCATTTATAGATATATACATTAACTTTTTTTAGCTGGAGAAACTATTAGCAGGATTTAATTTATGTTTCCTTCAAATAATATGCATATTAAGACTGAAATATTATAAACACATTTTATCATTAGAATACTCCATTTATATTGATTGTGATACCTGCTTTGCTGAAATCTAACCTGAAGGATAATTAAAATCTAAAAAACATATCTTTCTAACTGGCTTCTTTGTGAAAAATTGATTTAGCAGGATTTCAATTAATTATGAGCAAGTTCTATAAAATAAAAATAAAATTATTGCTTATCTCACTCATGGCATCCCATAATTCTGATACTATTTTTTCCCTCAAACATTTAAGTTTTATTTCCTTCTAATGCTTATATTTTAGAATAAAAATGCAAATTTATTTACTAAGAATTTACTTATGCTATCTTTAGAAAATGTATTTTGTAATGTAACACAGGCTGCACAACCCCTAGATGTTTAAGAGAGGTAAAGCAAAAGTGAAGAATGACTAATACATTTTTATTTATAAATTCATGTTTTAATTGACTGGGGCTTGAATAATTTAATCCACTTTAAAGCTTTTATTACATAGAGAAAACTTTCACAGTTAAAAGGTGAGAGGCATCTATAGCAACATGATAACATTTTAAACAGATTGAGGTATATGGCCAAACACACATAGGTGCCACAAATGAATTCTCTTTGTGGATCCTATGGCTACCACCTCTTCTAAAAAAAATATTAGTGAGCTGATGTCTATGCTCAATATGGATTTTGAGCAAAAGATATCAAGAAAGTTCAAGTGCAGAGTGAAGGGAAACAAGGGCGTAGAAATCCTGCAAAGACATATTATTGGAGGAGCCATATCAAACTTGATGGTTTATTGGGTTAGAAACTGCTGCAGATGTTTTGGAAAAAGAAATTTAATTCATAAATAATATGAAGGCATATCACAGAGAAACCATGTTATAGCTATAAATAACACGTAATATAGAAAAATTAGGTCACAGCTATAGGTAAAACTTGGTAGGTCTCGGATACCATATCAGTACTCTGGTATAGCTAAGCCTCTAATTAGATCCCAGTTATTTTTGTGAATTTTTTTTGTTCTTAGTGGAAAATGTATGACATTTTAATGAATAACTAAAAATCTAAAATCACCTTTTACAATGCCAGTCTTGTCAAAGGGGTGGCAGGGATTATATTAAAACACACAGACCAAAAACACAGAGATATAATTTTCATAGAGGTGATGTGAATAACTGATCAGAAATGCCTGAGAATGATGACTGATAAGAATACTAAAATTAATGAGTGGATTATGCATTAGAGAAGATTTTAAAAATAGAAAGTACTTCCACCTCCTGGGCAGCTGTTTTTATTGAATCTTATTTTGCTAAATATGTTGTCACTGTTTTCATCAAAGCAGCAACAATTATTTTACTATGGCACACATGCACGCTCAAAATAGATTACCTGTAATAATCTTTCAAGTGATTAGGTTTATTCTAAAATGATAGGTATGGTAATTATCTATAATTTAGCAACATTCAGTTCCATCATAATCTCTGTTAATTTCATTATTGGCTTTAAATAAACTGATAATAAGCCAATTGGCCCTCTTCATAAATTAATGTGAACTACTGACAACACATTTATATTATTATTGCAGGTAATAAAACAAATTCAGCACTAGGTTTGCAAATCCAGCAAAGAAATAATAAAGGACGATTTGCTGATTGATCATTTTGATACATTTAAAGAAATAAATGTGAAAAAGGAATTAGACTGTATGGATGGCAATAGAAGTAATAGCTGAATAAGAGCAGTGTATGGATCGTGTCATGACATAAAAACATAAAATTGATCCTAGGCTTCTGTATGTAATAAAAGTGCCAGACCAAATTTTTAAGCAAGACTGAAAGCATTTGAAACCTAAGTGCTAACTGATAGTGAGATGTGGCGTAATAATTTCTATACAATATACCATTAAAATATGTTTGATATGTCTTAGTATTACTTTTTCATTTTTTTAAGATAACAGCCAATGAAAGTGAATGGAAATGAAATTGTGATGTAATATGACATGTTTATTTGTTTGTGTGTAGAATTATACACTATTACAGTATTAGAACAAATGTAATATATTATATTTTAAGTTATAATATTAGTTAATTAAATTTCAAAGGTATTTCAAACTATGTAAAAAAATACATATAGTTAGTTTTGCCTGAATTGGTAACTTTATACCTTGTTTTAGATGGCCTACCTGATTGCTACTGATAGAATAGGCAGAAGAAATCAGGAAGAAATTTTAAGAAAAAAAAAGGCCACAATGCAGTTTAGTTTAGCTTTGGGAAGTAACTTCACTCATTGTAATTAAACTAATTCAGGCCTTGTCCAGAAGTAGAACTGAACCCAGAAATGAATAGCTGGTCTTCTCTATAAAGTTGTGCTGTGATTTCAGGCAGCCAATATTCCATGGGACTAGCATGTTATCACATAGCCCAGGGCTTTCTACACAGCAGACAACTTTCATGTATGCAAATGACCTGAAATACAAATGACTCGAAACTTTGCAGTATTGGATTTATATCAGCAGCCCTTTTATGGCTGTTGGTTTCCCGATCTACTGTAGTTATAAGAATCACTATGAGTGGATAGAAATAAAGTAAAAAACTACCAGGCATATGTTTTTCCTACCTTCTGACCTGATATACAGTAAGTAAGCATGTCAACTCCCACATTTAAAGGAGTCCCAGTTTACTTCAACTCACAGGGAATAACTGTGGAAAATAACTTGCAGGTTAATGAGTTCTTCGAAGCAAAAACAAAAAAACCAAATTTTTCGACGAAAACTTGATAAGAGATATCCAAAGCCAAGGGCATAATAAAGTATAGGAAAGAGTAATTTTTATTTCGTCTTCTTATAATGAAAAATCAAATCTTCTCTATTTCATACATGCTCAAACATTCATATCCCTTAATAGAACAGTTATGGATATTTTAAACATTAATTGAATACAAATTTGTAGTAAAGGCTACTTTTCAAATATCAACACTGAACTGACAAAGATCTTACTTTACAAATAAGCAAATAGATGGACTATATTTTGAATCTTTTAAGTATTATGACACATCAGATAGTGAAGAAATCATGATGTGATGTCAAACTTCAGTTGTATAAAACACTATTTTATATATAGTTTTTTCAAAAAAAGGAAAAATGCATAAACCACACCACAGGTGCTTTTTTTTCATATTTTAAACTTTTTAGCATGTTATAAAAGAATGACTTCGTAGGCTACACATGGAACTTTGTGCCTCAGTTAACATGCATTAAGGCAACCCAAGAACTATACACACAGCAGTTAACTTCAGGCCATCGAGAATATTTACTGATAACTACTACTTTGACAATATGATTCCCTATTTTATCTTATTGAAGGTCCAAGTAAACTAATTACAGTTACAGCATATCCACTGCTAGGAAGAGATTATAATTAACATGAGTGAAAAGTAATGCCTATGGTTATTTTTTTCTATCTAACAACTGCTTCTTGAGACAACATAGTATCTGCTTATTTTTAAACAATATTGTTGATTGGTTACAACATTCAAACTTATAATCCTATTAGGTAACCATTTAATAAGTGGCTAGAGAAAGGACTAGTCTTATAATGATGTACTTCTATTTTTAGTTGATGTACTTTTCTCATTATAAATATAAAAATTGCAGAGATGCTATTTTGTCTATTAAGAAAAATGCAGCTTTGGAAAAAATGCTCCAGTTTTTGAACTATTTACATAAAATTTTATGTGCTTTCAAACAGTGAAGTGCTTCCCTGCTAAATGATCTCAGTCTAATTTCTATAATTTTAATATTTTTCTGGTAACTGTGGCTAGTGTCTTCAGAGGCAAAGTGATCTGCTCCATAGCACATAGAAGTCCTTAACTTACAACTGGTGGCTTTATGTTCTTTCAAAATTATGATGGCTTTAGAATGAGTATTGTAAAATATTCTCTCAACCCCTGTGGTCATGTGACTGTACTTTGGTTGCTTGGCAACTGAGTTACATTTATGACTGGTTGTAGAAACCCATAAACATGTGGCCACAATCTGCAACTGATTTCTGTCAATTCAAAAGAATGGGTTCGCTTAACAACTGTGCTGTTCACTTAATGACAACATGATTTGCTTATTCACTACTATGAAAAATGTCAGAAAAAATTGGGTTCAGTCACATGGATACCTCAACTAATCACAGTGACTTATGAGTGGATATTAGGTTAGGAGTATTTGTCAGCAACTCTGAACAGGCACTGACTCTTGTGTTTGTGATTAAGTAATCTAGTTTCTGACTGTCTAATATGCAGGGGATGTGGTAGATTACTGTTGACGAAAGTGGATTTCTGTCATCCATAAGTGATTGAATAATTATTTGGATTTACCTAATTGATTTGTAAATTGTTTTTAGGCTGTATTTCTATAATAATTTTGTTATTATTCAGTTCAATCTGTACTTTCCCCCCTGGGGATGTTTTAACTATATCTGTCTATCTCCATTTCTATCTGTCTTTTGTTGAATTGAAAATCACTGCCTCTGCAGGTGCCAGCCACAGTTTCCAATGAAATGTCAGGATATCAGAGATTTGGCCCATAGCCATTTAGCCTAGATGCTCATCACCTTTTAATTGACACCAGCTGTGAAAGTAGACTTTTTTGTGCTATCTCATTATTTATTTTTGTGCTTGATACATTCATACATTTTTAAAAACCTGCAAACTGCCATGGAATTACTTTTGATAAAAGGAGAAGAAAAATATTAGATAAATAAACACAAAAACATATTTTGCCTGTTTTTACAAAATACTATAGAAAGCAGATTTGGTGAGATAACATATTTTATTTCTATAAAATATTAAGAATGTCAGTGAAGACTTACTTTGATTTCTTCATGTATAGCCAATAAGCAACACCTGCAACCGTTGCTGCTAGAAGAAGACCAACCACGATTCCCACTATTAATTTTGCCTGATCATTAATATTTTCCCTATTATCATCTAAAACAAAAGGAAAAAAGGGATGATGGAGTGTCTTGAAAAAATAAAATATGGAACACTCACTATAGGTTATAATATTCAGAAGTATTTTTAAATTCAAAAGCTTATGTAAAACCAGTAGCAACAATAAGCTATCATTATGAAAGCATACACATTTACAGTACAAAGATATATTGGCTGCAATCCTTAAACCATTTGCATTACAAACATTTTGGTGTTGTCCATATTTCACAAGGATGGCACAGATATTCTGAGATTGTACAAATGAGATTTTTGCAGTCTGAGAACTGTCTGAAAAATCTACCTTTGATTCATTAGAAGTAGGCAGAGCAATCCTATGCCCAATCAAGTTTTGCTAAACAAGATAAGAAATTTATCTCCAACTGTCAGCAGTGGAAGGAAGGAATACATTTAGTTTAGCTATTCTCCTATTGTTTGAAGTCTGGGAGGGGGGTTCTTTTTTAGTTTAATCCTTCTTGACTCATTCCTAGCAGACCTTCACAAATTTCCTTTAAAGGCCTTTTGAGCTTGATATTTTCTAGTTCTGGATGGAAAAGAGAAGGAAAAACAGAACAATCACACAAACCGCCAAATATGTTCTACTTCACATTAAATCTCAATGCAGATTCGGCATCATTGCCTCTCATCAAGGCTTCCTTTATGCACACACTTTCAATGAGTATAAATGCTGTTGGATCCTGTTTAAAAGCTGTGCTTTTGGTTATCTAGTCAATTTGATCAGTTGTCACAACTGCACTTATCTGGGACCTTCAATTTTTGACAGTGCCAAAACACTTGAGCCTTTATTCTGGGTGAGAAACTAAGATAAATGGTTTCAGCTTCTTATTCCTGTACAATAAAATTTCTATCTGCACTTTTTCCTACAAAATTAAAAAAAGGTTCTTAGTTAAGTCTATATAATAAAATATACAAAAATCATAAATAAATAGATAGCTAGATAGTTTTCCCAAAAATAAGACCTGGTCTTATTTTCTTTTCAGGCCCAAAATAAGCACCACATCTTATTTTCGGGGGATGCCTTACCCATTTATGTTAGGACCACCCAGCCACGCTTCCCACACCCTAATACCTGTTGCACTGCTGTCCAAGTTATGTGGCTGCTCATGGCTGCTCATGGCCAGATACCATGTGGCTTGTTGTGTCGGTGCTGCCACTTGAAGTTTGTCATGCCGATGCCACTGCTCACAGGAGGAGGCTGTGTGGCATGATGTATTGTTGCACGCGTGAGTAGTGGCACCAGTGCAATGTGCCATGTGGCGTCCAGCTGCGAGAGGCTGCAGAAGTCAGGCAGCAGCACAAAAAAGGTGTTGGAGTGTGGGAGGCCTGGCTGCAGCAGTCATAAGGTAAGTGGGTAGGGGGATAACTTGATTTTTACACCTATACCTCACCCCAATTTTACACCTGCACCTCACCCCATCCAGATGGTGGGTGGGGTTTAACTAAGGCTTATTTTTTTGGGAAGGGCTTATATTATGCACAGGCATGAAAATTGGGCTAGGGTTTGTTTTTTGGGTAGGTCATATTTTCTGGGAAAGAAAATAGATAACAGAATTAGGAGTTATGTATTGGAGTAAATGATCTAAGGATTACAGCCTTCTTTATTAAATATTATATATTAAATAATATTAAGAAATATTAAATACAGTGGTACCTCGGTACTCATTGTTAATTGGTTCCGGGAGCCATGATAAGTACTAAAAATGAGTACCAAACATTTCCCCACTATTAATGTAGTGAGTCACGAGGCAGTCAAAATCAACAAGTTCTAGCTTTTACATTGAGTACCAAACAAACAATGAGTACTGGGACCATATTTTCATGTCAAAATGTGTTAAGCATTAAAATTGATGAATTTCAAAGGAGTACCAGGATACCACGGTATCAAATACTCATTTTAGTTCCATGTGAACAGCAATTTGTCAAAAATAGATTTTTTCTCCTCAAAAGTACAACTCTTTCTTACTATCCTTGTGTGCATAGGTAAGATTTAGATTTAGGCAAATGTTGACTTTTCTGAAATCAGTTAAGACTTGGGACATTATTACTGTTTCCAATGAAAATAGCATGATGATGTTTGAATTAAACTTTTATTTTACATAGTTATATATTAGTATCAGTACTATTTTGATTGCATAGCAGTAAAACCTAGCACTTAAAATTACTTCTATTTATTTTCCTTTTTAGAAATCTACCTTTAATCCAAAAAAATAAGTATAACAGTTTTGAATTAATAGTATTAAATGTGGAATATTTTTATGTTCTTACCACTTTTTTCTTCTGGTTCATCAGATTCTGGAATACTTACTGAAACAAAGGAACAACAACAACAAAATAAAGCTGCTGATATCTAAGTCACCTTCAAAATTTCCACCTTTAAAGATATTTAATAATCTATATTTCAGCTGAGCCCAAATATACTTAATGCAGCATCAGCTACAAAACAAAATGATTAATCTTATTTTTAAGGCAGCAATCTTTACTTTGTATCTATAATGCATCATGTGAAAATGGTTTATTCTAAAAAATGACAAGTTTAATCTTACAAATGCCTAGTGAGAAGAAGTATTTATGTGTTGTTCTGTCCTGCATTTTGACTTTTTGTCACTTTATTACTGTAGACAGAGAGTTGATTAAACTTTAGCACCCTTGAATGAATTTAGAAGTCAACCTTTGATTAACTCTTCTAGAGACCCTGCACAGAATGAGAAGAGCCATGAAACATTCATGGGAATTGTGCTGGATAGCTCACTGAAAATTCCATAATATAGACTGCATAACTGAGAATAATATTAATTTATACATTTCAGGAATTTAAAAATGGTACAGAAGTGTTCTCTATATAGAAGTAAATCTTTACAATAGGATTAGTTTGAATAGTTAATAATTTGTCTACCTATATAATTGTTTATTGTGTAAAAACAATGCACTTATTTGTTATGCTAAGTCTTCACATGTTCTTGTATATTTCTGGAGACAGCATATTAATCATAATTCGAAATTGGAACATAAGAAATAGATAATTTAACAGCATTAATTACTGTTATAATTTCTTCATATGTGTACATAATTGTGTGTTAAAATCAATTACTGAATAATTTACATACTTAGTGACAATGATTATAATTTCTCATCATGACCACACTGAGTTCATATATAATGCACATTCATCCATTAGTTTCCACAAAGTTTGTTTTCCATACTTATGGCAAGAAATTGTGCATCATTGGTCCTTAAGGAAAAGGACTGGTTTAGGACAGGGCTGTCAAACTTGCGGCCCATGGGCAGGATGCATCAGTCGCTGGCCACACCCACTCCCGGTTTAACAAAGGGGAAAAAAAGTCGTGATACGTCACGTGATGACGACGTGACAATTTGAGTTTGTTACCTCTGGCTTAGGAGCATGATTCAAAGTGTATTGATAATATAAAATTTTCAATGGAATGCCATTAAAACTACTGCTAAATTGTATATTCAGTAATAGCCGATTTCCCATTAGTGCTATGCTGATTAGAAGAAGAATGAGAAACTCAAAAACTACATGCACTGAACAACTCTGTTGACTATCATTAATGGCTCTCAACTCTGACAACATCCTAAACAGTATTTAAAAATGAAAACAGAAGTTTCTCAATGTAATTGTTATAACCATTAATTATGAAGACATTATATAGTCCAGGTAGAATTGTTTAATTTAAAACTGGTAACCTGTTGTCACCTTAACAATAGTCTACCATAGCATACCATCTCAATAAATTCAGTGGACTGTATTTCTTGGTTAATTAGTAATTAACCATTAATAAACTAACCTATTTATTGAACAATCAAGGGGAAGAATATGTCCATATAGATGGAAGGAAAACTTTTACCCTGTTCACCCTGCCATTTCTTTACCCTGTTACTATGGTGCAAACAAGGTCTGGATTGAGTGGTTCCTCTGCCTTTAGGTATTAACCCGCCTATAGGATTGCTCTTTTAAAAAGAAAACAGGTAGTTCTCAGATTACAAGAATTTTTTCAAAACAATGACAACGATGAAATATATAAAAACCAAGAGATGATGAACACTTATTATGGGATTTGATAGGGTGGAGACTTATAGCTAGCAGCGTATAAGTACAATCAAATTCATTTGCATTTCTGCAGATATTCTAGAAAAACAACAAATAACAGAAATTAGCATGGTGACACAAATCTAAGAAATAAGATGCTAATTTACATGTCTTTTGTTAATGGGAGGACAATGAAGTAACTCATAACAAAATTCTAACCTGGAGTCACCTCCATGTGAGCAAGAATACTAAGAACAGTTTATGTAAAGGTAAATGAATAAGGAAATATGATCACCTTTGGTCATTTCCTCATCTTTCTTCTTTAATATATTAAAAATAAATAAACATACTTACTAGCAGATACATTCAAAGAGGTGACAGCTCTTTCTAGTAGATTTTCAGCAATGCAGGTTAATGTAATATTCTCTTCAGGAGCAATTTTGATTTTACTAATAAATTTTCCATTGATATATTTAGTCTCTTCTGTCTGGAAATAAGTTTTCAAAACAGTTATGTCAAAGTTGAAAGAATCCGTAGGGGTAGGTTTGTATGTGTGTGTGCCTGCCCACTCTCTTTGGCTAACTATTTATACTGATGACATACATGCATGAACCTGAGTACATAGTGCCCTGACTTATCCTGCAAATTTATTTTCATCTGTTTGTTTGTTAGTTTATTTCATTTATTTGCCACCCACCTCTCTGAAAAGGCAACTCTTTAATAAATATATACGTCACTTATATCTACTGCTGTAGCCTCTATTTTCTATACTACTAAGATGGAATACTAAGAAGATCACCTGAATCGTGCTCCTGGTTCCTATAGTCTGCAATTTTTCTTCTGGCAATCCATTCCAACTCCCATATCATTCAAAGGGTGTGCATCCCAAATTGTAGGAATGGATATCTAGAGGAAAAATTGCAGACTACAGGAACCAGGAGCATAACTCAGGTGACTTTGAGGACACAGATACACCTCCAAGTGCTTCAGCTACTCTCTAAAAGGATGCAAATTACCAGCTGTTTGCAAGTCCAGTTGCCTCCTGAAAAAGCATGTTTGGTACATGGACTGGTCCATACATTTTTTTCATAGCAATACTTTGCAAGTAATTTGCCATTGCCATCGTCATAAGATGAGAAGGAATGATTGACCCAAAGTCACTCAACTGATTTCATGCCAAAGACAAGACTAGAACTCAGCTCTCTAATTTCTAGTCTGATATCTTAAGTCACTGTCTCTCTTATTATTGGTTATTTATATATATTTAATTTGCAAAATTTATTATCCAGTTAATTGCATGCTATGCAATTAACATGCAATTATGTGTGTAAATAAAGTAAATTTACCTTGTAAGAAAACCAGTGCAGTTCTGGGATTTGATTTTATATTGGTGTAACAATATTATATACACTAGGAACTTGAAAACCGGTTCCCTACACTTGACTGTGAGTATGATTGTACTTTATTACATTATTTTTATATTATTGTTTAATTCAGTTTTTGTTTGTTTTTATTTTTTATGTATACCACACAAATTATGATGGACTGTTTTTTAAATTCTTTAATAAATACATAATTAACTATTATTTGAAATTGTACTTGAAACAGAGGTACCATATCTTCATTTTGTTTTGTATATTAATGTATATTATGTATTATACATTATCAATATACAATTTACTCAATGGTAAATTGCTTCAGTACATTGCATGTTGATAATGTACAGATCACAATGCATACAAAATTCCAAAGAATACTGGACAGCAAAAAAACCCTTCATTCCAGTAAACAGCAACCCAATACAGAAACTAGACAACCTGATCAAGTGAACCATGAAAGTCCTAATAAGAATGGTGAAATCACAAAAGAAAAACAATGGATAATAAAAAAAACAATGGTGGATAAAAAGCGGTATACCTGTTCTCCTATACCTACCTTCTGTGCCTCCAAATACACAACCCCGACATATCTCTTTGTGCAATTGTATCATTACCAGGATTTCAACATACCACATAGCTAAAGGATTTACAAAAAAGCTTCACAAAGGAGAAAAAATATTCTATTTTTTATTCCTGCCTTCATCTGTGCGAAAATATTCTATCTATTCTCCACTAAACTGGCTCCAGAAAAACAAAGATCTAATAATACGATAAGAGGTTATGATTTCAGTTGGTATCACAATAATTTACACCCAGGGACCAGGACTAGCAAAATAATCAATGGCAGGTGTACAACACAATACACCCAACCAAACCAAATATGTTAAGATCCAAATCATGGAATTCATCAATCTCTCCTTAACTACCTGCTTTCAGTCTGTTGGACAGATATACCAACAAATCAGAGAAACACCCATGAGATCACCACTCTCAGAAAGCAGATACTTTAATGCAGCATGTAGAAACTATAGCACTCCCAACATACAATGAACAGTATGGATCTGATATGTAGATGACATCTTTGCCATAATAAAAAAGGAACAACTAGAGAAAACATATGAAATAATCAACAGCATCTTCAAGGAATAAAATTCACAAGGAAATACGAAAATAACACACTATCCTTCCTGTATATCCTCATCAGCAGAAGAAATGTAGCAAATTAGAAGGAGAAGCCCATTGAAAAACCACTCACATTTACTAATTCCATAATCAAAGTAATAATCCAACCTGCCACAAGAGCTCCTGTGTAAGAACATTATTCAGATGAACACAAACTCACCTCAGCAGCCCAGAACACCAGAAAAAAGGAAGCAGACCATTTTTTTGGAATTTAGTCTGATAATGAGATAACCAAATTCAGAGAAGCAGCAAGAAGTTCACAATACTGTATTTACTGTAGTTGAAATAAACATGCAAACATAATGAGAAAATTACTTGCTTTATTTATGACACCTCCACTGCTAGTCCACTGTACTGCAGGTTTGGGAAATCCTTCTACGTGACAGGCTATAGTTTTATAAGATCCATCTGTGCTGGTTCTCTTTGACATTTTGATCTGAGGCTTTCCTTAAAATGCAAAATAATTTTTTAAATTGTTTATTTATTTATTGCTATATTCATAGTACTGAATCACTATGGGATTCAAGACCAATTAAAATATCACTATTAAACAGTGCAAATTTGAAACCAATTAATCTAGATTTTGATGCACACGCACACATACACACAGACAAAGCTGAATCATGTAAATACTTTTATTTCTAAAAATCTAGCCAAGCACTTTTAATGTTATTTCTACGGCAGTGTTAGAATTAGGTATTTTATGGCTGGTGAGCATTTCATAATTATATTGCAACATACAAACTAAACACAACAATATTGAATTTAAGAATCTACATTACCTTGTACTATCAATGTCAGAATTTGACTTTTCTTTAAGCCTTCAACTTCTTGTAAAATTGTTTCACAGACGTAATTTCCTGCATCTTGGTACTGCAAACTTGAAAAAGAAGGACTTGACCTCATTCTGTTATTATCCTATTAAAAAAAAAAGCCAGTATGCTTAGGAACCTATTTTACCTTCAAGGGAAAAAAGTAACAAAGTTCTTCAACACAAGTAGTTTGAACTAACCACTTTGGATAGGACTACTAAACAATTTTTACTGATTCTCCAATTAAACTGTATTTAATACTAAATAAAAAAAATCTACTTACATTGTTATCTGCCCTATAAAATCTGATTTTTATGTTTTAATAAACAAATATCTTGACCCTTATTATTGTATTGATCAATAAGAATATTTATATCTACTTCTCAGTTTGTCATGGGAACATTCAACAAGTTAAGCACTGGAATTTCCTCTTCTAAAATAAACCAGAGCTGGTAATTGCTTTCAATAAATTTAAAGCCAACAGATGGCTATTAATCTCTGCTTGAAGTGTCCAGGAAAGACCAGCTATTGTAGGAATTAGTAATTACTTTTGGCCTTTTGTAGTAATTAGTTTTGGCCTGAATAAAATGACTTAAATTTACTTCAATGAAAAAGCACACAATACAGAAACAACCTGATTTTTCTAGTCAAACTGAAGAAGCAATTGCAAATGCTTCATCTGGCATTTTTAAAAATATTTCAAATGACTCTTGTATGGACTATACTTTGGATTTTACAGAAATTTCTGAGAGGACTACTCAGCATTCTTCAGAATTTACCAAAGCCAGAAGAGGTCTCTGCGCAGATGTTATGCTAAGGAGTAGCTACACAAACAGAAACAAAATACTTGTTTTGTTTCACTGCTTAAAGTGAAAGAGACATATTGCTTCATGAAGTAATTTTATGGAAGATTCTCACACAAATCTTCAAAAAAATAAAAGACCTGTTTGAGGATTTAAGTTTTAACTGGTTCTGGGTCAAGCAGCTTTAATAGTTAGATAGCTTTTTCCAAGTTTAAATTAAAGTTAACAATACATTAAATGCAGATATTATTTTGCCCATGTTTGATAATTTCCTCATTCTGAATATTAAACATTACAATTTAGGAAACAATTTTGGAAGAATTCTAATATCTGTGCATAATACTTTAGAGGGCTGCATTTGGTCTTAGAATATGCACCCCATACCATTTAGGTTCTTATGAACTTTAAACTATCACCATTCCAGATACAGTAATGGATTAAGAATAGCCAAGTTAAAAATATTTACCTTCAGCCAGAACACAGTAGCATTTCTACTAGAAGAAATTGTACAAGATACAGGCAATGCTTCTCCAATCTGTTTAATAACTTCTCCACTGGGAGTAAGTGACAAATCCAAATCTATGTTGAAGAAATTCAGGATTGTTATTCATATTCACAAACTTCGCTTACTTAGGAAGTTTAAATAAAGCAAAACAAAAACAAAGAATTATTTGGTAATTTCAGTTACAGCTGCAATTTCTCAAAGTCTCAGTCAATTACTTTTCATAAAAGGACTGAAAATAAACTTCAGAAGAAGATAGCAGAAATATTTGCATGTACTATGTCTGTGTATGTACTGCATATGTGTGTGTGTGTGAGAGAGAATGAACATACACACACACAAACGTACATATATGTGTAATCAGTAGATAGCATAAAATGAAATACTTCAATTTTTTCTTTAAAGAATTTTGGGCTAAAGAAAAATAAGTGACATGAGGAAATGGTTAGAAATACTCTTATTTGTGTATATGTTTAGAAGAGTAAGAGGCATTTCGATACAACTATTTTTTCTTTCAGCCTTGCTTCTATGATAAATAGAAGTGAAGTTCATAATACAAACACTCAACCAAGGTATTCTTAGCATGTACCTAAGATACCGAGATAAATAAAATGTAGTGTATTCATAATTTGATTAGAAATTGAAACTGAATCCTTTTCTAAGAAAAAAACTAAAATGTTAAACAGTAACATCAAAATACAGTAAGATTAAAATTAGCTACATTTTCCTGTTTGTTTTTTTAGTTACTTTTAATGCATTACACAATTTTATTTATCTTTTATCTTCATCTTCTTAACTATACATAACAACTTGAGATTTTCATTTATTTTCCTATGATAAATCTACTTCCAAATTAATATTAACTTCATGTAAAATAGAGCTGCAGTTTTGAATTAAGTGGCACCACAATAAGCAGAAATCTATGTTGGTGTCTGTGTCAGGCATATAGATGGGCCCCAAGGACTGCACGTAGCCCCTGAAAGCCTTTAGAGAACTCTCAAAATACAAAATAATGACTTTTGATAGGACACAAGAAGAAAATTATTAAATTTATGACCAAACATTAAACATTTTATATTTATTGTTCCATTAAGGTTGTCCTGCTCCACCCATTATTTTTGGGGTGTAACCAAAAGCCATTTGTAAATCCTGGCCAGGAAAACATACAAAATACATGTGATAAGTGTAAAGAAGCACAACTCCTTACAGAGATATTATTTATTTTATATTTTAAAACCTGTATTAAGAATGTGCCTAAATTGAAACAAGGATGTACATACTAAAATAGGATTTCCCTCCTTTCTGAAGCACGCTTTTATTGTTGAGCATAATGACAGATTTATTAATAAACCAACTAAATCCTACGATTAAGCAACTACGATGTCTATCTGAGATAAAACCTAGGGGTATATCAGCACAAACAGAAATAAATCTTTGCCACATTCTGATTTGACTCTAGATGAGGTGAAGAAGTGAGAATTTTTATGTGCTTTATGTTGCATTATTTTTTGTAAACCTTTCAAAGCCCTCATGACAATTTTTGATAGTGTATTTTATTAAGTTGGCCCTGGATTTTTTTTCTGTAACCAGACATTCCTTCTCTTCATCTATTTATCCAATGATAAAGGAATGTAAATAGAAAAAATAGAATTATATTCATAAGTAACTGCATCTATATCAATATTTTCAGGCATGCAGAAACATTAAAATGCAGAAAAATAATAACTGAAGGAAGCCCCTCTCAATGGACTATCCTAGCCATATATTTTATGTGACAGACGATTTCAGTCTCTATACCTTAATTTTGAGATCACTCTCTCTTCTCACTCCCTCCTCTCCAATAACAAGATCACCACTTCATAACTGTGTAATAATGCAATGTTCTATTTTTTTAATGCTTTTAACAGGTCCAAATGTTAAAGATAAGAAAATATATGCCACATGAAATTTGAATATCAATTAAAAACAAAACCAGAACTTTAGAGGCAAAAGAAAGAAAAAGATGAATGAAAAAAAAATCTCTGAACTTTTAAAATAAGCCTCAGACATGAATTAAAAAAAAATAATGGGGCCTAACTCTGACAAAAACATCCATGCGTAATTTAATCAAAACACAAAACATGTGGCAAAAGCCTTGGCATATATTACAAAATGATATATGACTATAAGAAGGAATACAAAAATAATACTTACAATGTACTGTAACTGTTGTGGAATCTATCAAACTTTCATCAGTCAGTGAACATCTGTATTCACCTGTTGCATTTCTTCTTACATCAGTCAACTCATGAAAACTGGAACTTCGAATTGGTCCAGGCTCTCCCTTTAAAAAAATGTTAAACAAAAGTTTGCAATACAGTAAAATGTTTATGTTTTGTGTATAACTTCTACACAACTTCTAGTTGACTTATGTTTTCAGGGTTTTTATGTTATTGTTTCTTGCTCCAGCCTTCTTGATAAATTTTATGTAAAACTAATGATGATACAGATTTAGTGAATTAATGTATAGTGTTGTCGTGTACACATTTTAAAAATAAAACTGAATGAAATTTATAGAAAAACAAAAAAAAAAAATAACTGGGAGGGTAGGAATGGAAAGATATGAGACCGATTAACAGAATAGTGTGAAAAAGACACCTTCCTGCCTAAACCAAATTGTGGCTTCCCCAAATTTAAGAGGTTGTACAGATATGCAATACTTACAGGGATGAAAAATAAGAACTCCTGAGGTGGAGGATTACCATTTCCTGAACATTTCAGGGTAATGTTATCACCTTCCTTAATTGTTTTTCTTCGTGAAAGAATCTCAATCTGAACCTTTTCTGTGGGATCTGTAAAGCAACATAAACTGGTTAATAATCTGACTCTTCCAAATATCTAAGAGAGTAAAATAAATCTGTATCAAGCAACGGATGCATCAAGAACTTTATGCAAAATAAAAGTTATTGGGCTCACCCTGCAAATATTGGTGGCAAATCACCAGTTTGATAATCTTGATCCAGAGCTTCCACTCTTTCTCTCCAAATGGTGCTCTCAAAACTTGTGTTAACACCCCATTTAGTAACTACATCAGCATATAGAAATAGTGCTTAGATTTATATACCATTCTATAGTGCTTTAGAGGACTTTCTGAGTGATTTACAAATGTCAGCATATTGCCTCCAACAATCTGGGTCTTTGTTTTATCAACCTCAGAAGAATGTAAGGCTGAATCAACCTGGAGTTGGTCAGGACTGAACTCCTGGCTGTGGGTAGAGCTAGCCTACAATACTGCATTTTAACCAACTGACCACCACTGCTCGTATATGTGAAACATCACTGTAAAAAAGGTCTCCAAACATGGGAACTTCATGATTTATAGATCTATAGATCAGATGTGTCAAACACACAGCCCACATGTTGAGATGTAGTCTGTGATAGGCCACAGAGTTGGCGAGAAGGAGCGTTGGTACTTACCTGATATACCCGTTCTCAGTGAGCTGCGATGAGCATCCAGAGAGTGGGGAGGTGCTTAGTCTCTGCTCGGATAGGCTGGGCTTAATTGTTAGGACGCTCTTACTCCTCCCTGACTCCTCCCTAGCGTCCCCAGTTTTGGCGAAGACAAGGTGATGCAACCCCTGCCCTCTTCTTTGTTATGTTTGTTTGTTTGTTTTACAAATTTCCAGATTTTGTTGGCTGGAACAGGATCCCACCAGACGGATATTGCGTGGGGCTGGATGCTCGTCAGAGCTCACCGAGAACGGGCATATCAGGTAAGTAACAACACCCCTTCTCCATTGAGCTGCTCCGAGCATCCAGAAAGTGGGACATACCAAGGTTTGGCTTGCCCTACGAGAGGGTCTCCATCTGGGTTGGAGCCCCCCCACTGTCCGAGTGGGCCCGTTGTAACACCCTCCTCCCAAAGGAGGCCTCAGCAGAAGCAAATACATCAATTTTGTAATGCTGAATTAAAGGTGATGGAGAGAGCCATGTTGCTGCTCTACATATTTCTGCTACAGGAGCTTGCGTGGCCCAGGCTGCTGAAGTTGTCACGCTCCTTGTTGAATGCGCCGTGATGCCCCTAGGCACGGGTAATGATTGAATCTCGTATGCCCTGGCTATCGTGGCTTTCAGACACCTGCCTATAGTTGAAGGTGAGACCTTATGCCCCTGAGTGGTTGGCGGAAAAAATACGAAAAGGGCTTCAGTCTTCCTGAAAGGAGCCATTCGATGTAAGTACGTACGGAGATCTTTGCGGACATCAAGTCAGTGCCATTGATGCTCTAGGCCCTGAGAAGGCTTGGGATAAAAATTTGGGAGCACAAGTTCTTGTGCCCTGTGGTTGGCAGAATTGACTTTTGGTATGAATGTGGGGTCTGGTCGAAGAACCACTCTGTCAGTATGGAATATACAAAGGTCCTTTCAGGCCGATAGAGCCACTATTTCCGAGATACGTTGTGCTGATGTTATAGCTACGAGGAAAACTACCTTGTATGTGAGAAAATGGAGACTAGTAGTTTTCAGTGGTTCAAATGGACCTTCAAAGAATGGACTTCGTGAGTGCTGTAAGTACCTGTTAATTAAGGTCCCAGGTCAGGTAACAATGTACCATTGGTGGACATATATTTGTGGCGTCCCGAAGAAAACTCCTTATCCATCAGTGGTGGGAGATGGATGTTAGACCTTCCCAGGTCACCACCGAGGCAATAGCCGTCTTAAAAGTGTTTGGAGAGAGACCCCTGTCGAGACCATCTTGAAGAAACTCCAAAACTTGTGTCACTGATGGCGAAAATGGGTCCACCTTGGATTTGGTGCACCTTTCATAAAAGATAATCCATGTGGCATTATATATACGGCTTGTAGAGGGTCCTTGGGTGAGCAGAATTTTGTGCAGTGGAATTTTCCACAGTTCTTCTGTGGACAGACTTCTGAGATCTGCGAACCATGGCCTCCTGGGCCAGTATGGTGCCACCAAGATCAGTTCCGCTTTCTCGTCCAGCAGCTTTTGGATCACCTTGAGTATCAGTGGGAGAGGGGGGAAGGCATAGAGTAGTCCCTGGGGCCACCAGCAATGGAGAGTGTTGATGTTCTCCGCCCCCTGGGAGGGGTATCTCGAAATGAATCTAGGGAGCTGCGTGTTCAGGGGATAAGCGAACAGATCTATAACTGGAAGACCGAATCTCTGAACTGCTTCCTGAAACAGATCTGGGTGCAGGCACCACTCTGACTGGTCGACTGTGGCCCTGCTCAGCCAGTCTGCCGATGTATTTGTGAGCCCGGACATATGCTCCATCACCCCTAAGATGGGTGGCCAGAGCTGCTAAGACCTTTGTAAATGTTCTTGGGGCAGATGACAACCCAAGGAGCAGGACGATATATTCAAAGTGTTGGTTGTTGGTTGTTTTTGTTAACGAAATCTGAGAAATTTGCTGAGTGAAGGTCTAATTGTTATATGTAAATAGGCTTCTGTTAAGTCCATGGCAGTTAAAAAGTCACCTTTTCTTATGCTATGCAGAATGGATTGCAACTTACTCATTTTAAATTTACGATAAACGAGGGAACAGTTGAGTCGTTTTAAATCTAAAATTGCCCTCCACCCCCCTGAACTCTTAGGAACTATGAAGAGTAGTGAGTAGAACCCTTGCCCTTGCTGATCCCGGGCTACGGATTGGATAGCCCTGATTTCCAGTAAATGACTGATCACTGTCCCCATCAGATTCCTTTTAACAGGGTTCTTGGAGAGAGGGCATGTCATAAAAAAGTTCATGGGTGTGGAGTGGAATTCTAGAGCCAGGCCAAATCTAATGGTGTCTCGAACCCAGGAATCCAAAGTAGAAGTATCCCAATGGTCTGCAAAGAGCCTTAATCAACCTCCAATGGGGGCATAATCTCTGGATCTATTTTGGACGTCAGAAACCTCTGTTTCCTGCCCCAATAAATGGTCTTTTTACCTGTCTCTCCCTACGATTTCTGTTTGAAAAGTCCACTCTATCGGAGTGCTGGCTGCTTCTAAATCCCGATACTCTCTGAAATATAGGGGAGAAATGTCCCTGATAGTAGGGATGAAAGGAGCCTCTCCGTAAGGGCTGATAATTTCTGTTGTCTAAGCGACAAAAAGGGGAGGGGAGAATCTTCTTTTTACTTTTGGTCTCAATCAGAAGCAGATCCAGAGCTTCTACTTGCAAAACCTTACTGCAGGTACAATATTTTGGAATGAAAGACTTAAATAGTGTATGTGTGCATGTGTTTGTATGTGTGCATGCTTGAGTAAGTGTTCACTCCTGGCAACTGCTTAAACATGCTCTTACAGTTTCTTTGACAAATTTTTTAGAAGTGGTTTGTCATTGCCTCCTGCCAAGGGATGAGCTAGAAATGACTGGACCAAGATTACTCACTTGGCTTCATGTCTAAGGCAGGGTTAATACTCAAAAGTCTTCTGGTTTCTAACTGTGTGCTTTAACCATTAGATTAAACACACTGAAGCTAAATATATATATATATAAAAATAACAATTATATATATTGAAAAACCATCCTGCAGCATGTTTTGCCTGAAGGTAGAGCTTCAGAAAAACAGCAACAACAAAAAACAACAACAAATCATGTTATAAATTAATCTTCTCTTTAACATGTTTTTAAATTCAATAGGTATTTGGTGGCAACCTAATTTTCTTTTAGTCAATTTTAGAATGTGTTACCTAAATGAACAAAACCTAGAATAGGATAAATTATACATAGTCTTTGTCTCAGGTTTTTCCAGCCATCATGAACATTGCTGAGAATTTTCAGAACTGCAGTTATATATTCATAGAATAGCCATTTGGGGAATAGCTACTCAGATGCTAATATACATAGGAGAAAATTCCACTGCATTGTATAAGTAGTCAAATATTAGGAAGCACAAGTTACAGCAGATTTCACTCTTGCTTCTTAACTTACTTCCCTTTCTCAAAAGGGAAGGGCAAGACATGACAAACAACTGCATGTACATGAATATGTTATGCTTGTCTGATTTTTGGAAATGCATCATTTATGTAAAATCTATGTTAGGGAAATTAACTATGATAATAAACTTACAGTAAATGTTAGGGACTTCTGATTCTGATCGTATTATCTCTGGTCCAGTTGGTCCAAAATACGTCACTGTGCAGGTGAACTGTGCACCAGTGTCATCCTTTGTTGGTTTATATTTTAGGGAAGATTTGATGGTATAGAGTCCGCTGGTTTTATCTGCATCTATTTGTTCATCTATGACAACAGCTTTTAAAAGAAAAAGAATGACTTACACAAAGTTATTTGTAAATAAAAAGTGCAAATTCTAGTGATTCTACTTAGGATATCCAAGTGGAAGTAATACTAAATTTGTGTATATCTATAGTCCTAAATGTATTCATTTAAATGGAATAACAGAATAACAATAATAGAGTTGGAAGAAACCTTGGATGTCTTCCAGTCCAATCCCCTCCTCAAGCAAGAGACCCTCTTGTCAGTGATGCACACAAGCAGATTGAACCTCTAGGATAGGTTTGCATGCAGTTTAATTTGCCCTCCATGTTCCATTTCCATTGTCATTTTTCAAAAGGTTATAGAGCCCAGCCTCTTTGATGAGGAAAACAAAAGAAGCTTCACTGACTAAATAAGGCAAGACGATGAGAGATATATGTGGAAGACAGAGACTTCAGTCAAGAGAGAAGAAAGTAATAAATGTAAAATATTTTCCCATTTCTCACACAGAAAATAATACTTAATATATATTGCAATGGGTCTAAATATGCCAGGCTGAATAATTTTGGTTTAAAATCTATTGGTCTTTTCAGACAATGGTCTGGATTCAAAGTTTTCAAATTTGTGCCACTCAAATCAGATCTGTTAAGATTCAGTCCTTTTGATTTCATGAGGACAAATCTATTTCAAAGTCTATCCTAAACACAGTCAACTTTACTTCCAACCTGACTTTAGAAAGCAAACAGCAGACTATTAAGCTGCTCACAATGTTGAGGTGCTTAATGGAGTTTCTATAACAAGAAACAATCCACATCCAAAGACCCATGTCTTCCGTGGAAAAAAATGACTGATTGGCAGCTTTAGTGATTAGTTTGGTAGCTTTCTAGAGAGATTTGTGTGATATGTAGATGTGTAGGTCATAAAAAGTACAGAAGCAGGTGAACTTTGATAGGAGGATAAGGGAGGCGGGTCATCTCCTTGGGAATTGAATGGCTTGATGACTTCATCCCAGCAGGCTAAAGGGTCAGTTATTGTCAGTTATCAAAGTGAAGATGCCTTCCAAGAGATAAGCTGCTCTTCAGTAGGGCTCCTGGACTCTGGGAAAGCTTCCCTCTTTTTGTAGACAACTCATAGAGAGGTAAGTGAGGATTAGGTTTAGGGTGGAAGTGACTGCGAGAGGGTGAGGGTTAGGGTAAGGATGAGAATAAGAGTGAAAGAGTGAGGGACAGGCTAAGAGTCAGGGTGAGGCTGAGTCAGGGTTAAGATTAGGTGGAGGGGGATAGGGAGGGGAATGGGTATGGGTAATGACAGGAAGCTAAGTCAAAAAGGGGAGGAGAAGGAAAAGAGATGAGGAAGGGCAAAAAGAGATGGAGTAAGATGGGTAGGAGAGGGGAGGGGGACAGGACAAAGAGGAGAGGGAAGGGAAGGGAGGATGATAAAGAAGGGGAAGAAGGAGTGGACCTGGTAGGAAAGAAGGATAGGGAAGCAAGACGGAGGAGAAGGAGGAGGAGGAGGGAGGGAGGGAGGAATTCTAATGCCTTTATGACTTCATCAAGGCAGGTTATTGCCAGACCTAAGGGAGAGGGAGAGGATAGGGGAGGGGAAGACAGGGGGAAAGGGATAGGGAAGAGGAAGCAGTGGAGGGCAAGGAGGTACAATGGACCAGGGTGGAGTAGCAGGGGGAAAGGAGTAGGGGGATGGGACAGGGAGGAGAATTAGAATTTGAATAGAATTAGAATAGAATACAAATAGAATATATCCATAATAGAATTAAAAAGCATAGATTAGAATCAGAATCACTTTAATGATTTGGAATTGGAACTATAGAATAAATAAAGGTATATATAAATCTATCATCTCTCCCCCCCCCTCTCTGTCTGTCTGTCTGTCTGTCTCTCTCTCTCTCTCTCTCTCTCTCTCTATATATATATATATATATATATGTGTGTGTGTGTGTGTGTGTGTGTGTGTGTGCAGGTCTTGGCATGTTTGGGTCTTTTCCCGTGCAAGATTGAGAGTATCTTGGCAACGTTTCGACGAGGTCCCACATGTTCTTACAAAAAAGCCAGACAATCTGCAAACATCAACTCGATCAACCAATCAAGAAATGACAACACAGCCAACCTCCCCACCAGTATATATAGGGAGATGGCAGCTCCGATCACACTTTGTTCGCACAAGCACGAAGCCGAAAGCACCAGCCTGAAGATGGCGAGTGGGACCTCATCGAAACATTGCCAAGATGCTCTCAATCTTACATGGGAAAAGACCCAACCATGCCAAGACCTACATACCTGTACCCGTGAAAATCTATGAAAACACACACACACACACACACACACACACACACACACACACACATTGCTTCAGGGTCAATTTGAGTTTTACACTGCACTTGTTTTTTATACTGCTTTATTTATGAATGCATGATGCAATAATAATATGGCTTATCAACTGGTTTATCACAAGAATCTGAAGCTGGTTTGGACTGAGAGGAAGTGATTGGTCCCAAATCAAACTCTTAGCTTTGGGCCTAAGGAGGACTAAAACTTAAGGTTTTTCATATAGCAATTATAACATGCTAGCTCTTAGATAACATTTTTAAATAACTACTTTAAATTGTAGCAATAATTATTATTTTAAAAAATGTCAAAAATACAACAAAACTCAGCCAACATTGTTTACTATGAGCCAGCAGTGTGCAGCAGCAGCAGCCCAAAAAGCTAATGCAATCCTAAGTTGTATTAACAGAGGGATACAATCAAGATCAAGGGAAGTACTAATACCACTCTATAAAGTAACCTTAGTAAGATCACACCTGGAATACTGCATCCAGCTTTGTTCACCACATTATAAAAAAAGATGTTGAGGCTCTAGAAAAAGTACAGAGAAGAGCAACCAGGATGATTAGGGGACTGGAGGCTAAAACATACAATGAACGGTTGCAGGAACTGGGCTTGGCTAGTCTAGTAAAGAGAAGGACCAAGGGAGACATGATAGCGGTTTTTCAATATTTGAGGGGCTGCCACAGGGAGGAAGAGGTCAAGCTATTTTCTAAAGTGCCTGTAGGCCAGACAAGGAATAATGGATAGAAAGTTAATTGCAGCACTGTTAACAAGGCTAATGATTTCCATGCTTAAAATAGCTTACTCTAAACTGACTGAAGATAAAGAAACATGCATGCAGTAACATCTAGAAACAAAATCCTACCTTCTTCAGCATGCTGCAAAATAGCTCCATTCTTAAACCATGTTATGTTTCCTGCAGGATAACCATCTCTTGTAATACATTCCCCAAGCTAAGAATTCAAATACACGATTTGGTTATGGACATTGCATATTCTTTTGTTCATAATAGATAGCCTTTACTTAATGAACATTTGTTCAGTGACCGTTCAAAGTTACGATAGCGGTGAACTATTTGTAGTTCAGGTAGTTCAAGGACATCACGTCCCTGAAATTATGACCACGGGGTGCGCCTCCAAGGCCACGTGATCAAAATTAGAGTCACCATCTACACTGACAACAGAAGGATGTGCTTCAATTTTACCTCACCCGCCTATCTGTTCATCTCTGCCCTGCGTTTTGCTGCTCTTGCTGCTGAGGGCAAGCCCAGGTCCATCTTAGCAGCAGCAGGTGGAAAAAGACACCAAAGATTTATTGGTGGCAGGGTGACATATTAAGGGATGGTTGAGTGGCAGGAGCAGCAAATGTTGGGGGTAGCAGAGAGCAGGACATTTGGGGCAGCGAGGCAGTGGAATTCAGAGTGAACAAAAAAGCGGAGATGGGTGAGCGTGATAGTCAGGTGTGGGGAGTGGCTTAAAGTAAACATGGAAGGGCAGGAGAAGTGGGAGGTCCTAGTGTAATGACTGCAGTGACGACTACTTGCCATCCCTAAATCCATTTTTTAAATGGAAATTCTGGTCCCAGTTAGCTCATCAAGTAAGGACTACCAGCATACTTAAAGTTATTATTTTCAACACATCTATTCCTGTATACTTTTATTTAATAAAAGCTTTCCTCATAATGATGGATGATAGTAATTGTGCTGCAGATGATGTGCTTTCTTTGCAGTTACAATACCAATATACTAATATGGGATTCACACTAAATCGCTGTACTGTGCCTTATATATAGGAAGTCTGAAGACTTTCCTGTTACATTTTGTCTTGCAAATCTTCATTTCATTAAGCCTTTAATTCAATTGTTGTATACCCCAGATCTTATATAATAGATAGATCACATATATGTATAAATCAAGGGCAGGGCTTTGAATTCCAACTCCAATTCACTCTAAGTAGCATGATTAATCATTAGAGATTATGAGAATTTCAACATTTGGAGGGTCACATTTTCGTCAGTCCTCACATACTCTCTATTCATTTTTTAGCCCTAGTGTAGTTACTGGAACATGGATATACTATGAAAGAAATATAGGAAATTAGAAGATTTTAGATATAAGAATAAATTACTTGAAATTATCAAATAACTGGAGATATTGGTCTATAAAGAAAATCCTGCATGAAATTGAAAATAAATTACGTAAGATATCTATTAAACCATAATATAGGGAGTCCTTGACTTACAACCACCATTGGGACTGGAATTTTGATCCTTAAATAATGGGGTCATTTAATGATTCATCATATGACTAGATCCAATTTTATGTTCACTTTTATTGTAGTTGATAGGCAAATCACCATGGTGGTTAAGTAAATCACATAGTCGTTATGCAAGTCCTGCTTTCCCAATTGACTGTGTTTGTTGGAAGCTGGCTGGGTAGGTTGAAAATTTTGACCACAAAAAACTGCAACCATTTTAAATAACAGCCAGTTGCCAAGTGCCAAAATTGTGATCATGTAACTAGGTTGATCGTGTGACGATTGTAACTTTGGAGATGGATCATAGGCCACTTTTTCCAAGGCTTCTGAAATTTTGAACTGCCATTAAATGAATGACCATAAATTGAGGACTACCTATTATTATACCTAAGAAGGGAAGGTGATGATAGTGACTGTTTTCCATGAATAAATTCAACAGATAAAGCTATGGAATCTTTATATATGTTTAGATTGCAAAATGTAGAAAATAATTCTGCTTGAAATGTTTTCCTAATCCTCCTTACAGACCAGGGCTACATTATCTTTAGCAAAAAATTATTCCATAAACAGGTTTCAATATGCAGATAGCTGTATTTACATGCAATCTGTAAAATGTAGCCAATAGATATAGTCTACTTTTAAGTCTTTTTTATTTTAAAATAGCTTCTTTTTTATAATTACATTATTTCCTGTTTGCTGCCCAATATGCAAAATAGCATGGGAGCAGCTAGTGATAATGATAATGCTTTTTTAAGTCCTAAAATAAGGCTTTCTTTTGACATACTAAATTCATGTAAAAAAATAGCAAAATAAGACAGTGGTTAGCAAGCTCAAGAAACAAGACAGTGAGGCTGGCAAGCTCAGGAAACAAGGACAACCTGGATTTCTGTAACAGAATTCTAACAGCCCATAGAAACGATTATCCCGCTCAACGTACAGCTAGTATAATTAGTGGAGTTGCTCTGTATCTTCCCTACAAGGAAGATTCAACAAATCCCTTTTGTGGATTTAAGTGTCCCTTTTGCCACAGTCCCTTTTGTATTCTGTTTTCCAATATATTTTATAACAGATCAGCTTAAAGATAATTTAGCAGGAAAAAATTGTTCACTTACCAGTTTCAGCTCTTCTGTTTCTAGAAATTCTGCTTGATTTACAATTTCAGGCTTTGATGGCTGCTCTGTTGTTGTTGTTGTTGTTTAGTGAAAGAAAATGATAAAAATTTGAATTATATTTCAACTTTCAGATATTTGGGACTGAGTCACATACAGGGAGTCCTGAATGCATGACTGCCTGGCACCATTCAAAGTTACAACAGCACTGAGAAAGTAATTTTACAGTCCTCCTTGCACTTATTGCGATTACAGCATCCCTAAGGTCCTGTAATTGAGATCAAGTGCTTCTCAACAAGTGGGTATTTGCAACCTTGGAAGTGTCCCAGAGTCACTGCCATTTGCACACTTTGCAGCTGACTTCCAACAAATAGCAATCAATGGAGAAGCCAGTAATAAAATCACAAATCACACTCAGATGATATCTCAATTAATGACAGCAGGTGATTTCTTAATAACATCACAGAAGTGAGGTCATTAAGTCAGTTGCAGCTATGCGATATCTTGCTTATTAATAAGTTAGTGAGAGAGTTGGCAGGCCAAACTATAGTCATTACGTGAGGACTACCTGCATGCAGATTTCTCAACATGGATGGAATCAAATCATGTGAGAAACTGAAAACTTTATTGTAACAGAATTATATTTTTGTATTATTTATACAAATAATTCAGATAATAGTAACAATAATGATAGATCTAAGCCATCTGCTCCTAACCAGAAAAAGTATAAATTGTAAATATCAGAAAATATGTTGATTCAATTGACAACTGAGAGAAAAAAAGCAAATTCAGCTTTAGAAATCAAGCAAAGACTTAAAATAAAATTGTCAATATTATAATTCATTTATACAAAGCTAGTGAGACTGCGTGTGAGATATTGCACAATTCTAATTACCACGTTTCTAAAAGGATATAATAGATTTATAGAAAGGGTAACAGAAATTAACTTGAGAAATCAAATAACATCCTTATAATAATAAGCTACAATGTTTGGTTCTTTTAGGCTTGGAAGAAAGGTAGCGAGAGAATGGGGGGAGGGATTGGTGGTATGATTAAGATATGAGCTATATGAATTTGTGCACAACTCCAAAAGTAGTTTTTCTCCTTTTTTTTGAAAATACTATGCCCATGGGCCATCCAAAGAAACTGACTGGAAGGAGATTTTGAACAGAAATACTTTTGCTTGCAGTACATTATTAACCTGTGAAATTCATTACCACAGCACAAGATGATATCCAATGACTTGCATGACATTAAAAAGGCATTGAATAAATTAATGGAGGATAGTTTTATCAACTCTCTTGAACAGTCAGTGTTATCTCTGAGTAGAGGCAGCATGTCTGCAATACCAGATGAAAGAAAATAATATGAGAGACAGAGTTCCATTTCCTGGTTGTGAAAAGCCTAGAGTCATCTGTTTGGCAAATTTTGAGAAAAAAAATGCTCAATTAAAATTGGCAGTACTATTCTTATATTCTCATGGTAAATTAACCTCACAAAAACTAAAAATAGGTTGGAGATTAATGGAACAATTATAACACTATATCTATTCTCTCTCCCATTAAATTGACAGCAAGATTTATTCCTTAAAAGATTTCTCCTAGTAATCCTCCCCAATTTGCTTCATAGATCAGAGATTTTAGTTTTTCAATGCTATAAGAAAGAAGCTCTCCTTCTTTCACCCAGCATGGAAATAGAGCAAAAAATATATAAAGCCATTATTGTTTCACATTAGTTTTTAAAGAAAAACTTTTTGAAGAGTGAATACAAAAACAATCTCTATATTACTCTTGATGCATATATATTCCCATGCAGGTTCCCCTGGAATTATTTATTACAGTACATAAGATATAGATAAATATTTGCTTTCTAATGTTGAGTTTTAAATATTTAAAAGTGTTTTTAAATGTATAAAAGTTTCCACAACTGGGTTTCAATTTGAGTGAATAAAAATTTGTTCCGGCAGATATGCCAGAAGTGGTATTCAGCAGGTTCTGACCAGTTCTGTAGAACCGGTAGCAGAAATTTTGAGTAGTTTGGAGACCGACAAATAGGACCTCTGACTGGAGATTTTACAGTATCCTTCCACGCCCACAGAACTGGTAGTAAAAAAATTTGAATCCCACCACTGAGATATGCTGAATCTTTTCAAATTATTGCTCAAAAAATGAATGCTTAATGACAAAGATTATGTTACAGAAGTGATTGTTTTCAGTTTGTGTACTTTTGTCCTCAGCTCTGTTAATTTCAATTACTGAATATTTAGAGCAGTGTTTCTCAATTTTGGCAACTTTAAGATATATGAGCATCAATTCTGGGAGCTGAAGTCCATGTGTCTTAAAATTGCCAAGGTTGACAAACATTGTATTAGATTATCCTTTCCCAGGTTGATGTTCTCCAGATGGGAAGTACTAAAAATTTCAGAACTGCAATTCACCATTTTTCAGGGAGTGTTCAACCCCTTACTTTGGAAGGCACCATTCTGGACAAGCATGACAATTGCAGGAAAAATGTTCCATGAACTGAGTACTGAGAATTGCAGTTCAGTAATATCACAGGCTAGAACAAAGTAGCTGGGATAAAAGTTCAATTTGATTTAAAATTAACTTAAATGCAATCACTAGGATTATTTTTCATTTAATTTTTCATTTGTCACAGGACAAATTACAATTCATTGGTAATTATTGAAGAGAGCTCTTGAAGGCTTTCAATGACCCCGACATCATCCTTCTGTTAGAGGAATTAAGCAGTACTTACTGAAAACTTTGACGAGTGTAGCCTGTTCAAAGACATTGTCTTCAGTTACAAACATGCATACAAATTTCTTTTCATCTCCAATTCTTGCATTATTAATGGACAGGGTATAATTTTCAGAAAGACTTATTCGGTCTTTGTATTCTGGTACATTGTCATATTGGGCACTTGGCTTTTTTGCAGATCGCAATGCAATAGACTCTGAAGCCTTGTTTGCAATTTCCTAGAAGGGGGAAAATATTTTATCAAATTTATATGGCTGCTTATCTCACATCAGATGACTCTCTTATCTCTCTCTCAAATGTTTTATGCCACTTCAATAATTCAGAGCTCTTCATAACACTTATTTTATATTTACACAATACATATTATGAACAATTAAAATACATTCAGTTTTTAAAGGCTTCTGAATCCAATTTTTTATTTAAATGTATCACAACCCTGGGAAATTATTGAAAGCAGAATATAAAGATTTGGCCATTGAGGAACCAGTTTTTTCCAATCTGATAACTGGCCAATTTCCAGATTTCTCAGCAATAGCCCACACTGGCTTAGATTGTAGACTAACTTCACAAAGCTTATGAGTTTGTGAGGCATTGACAATACAGAATGTCATTCAAAAGATTTAAAAAAAATCTGTGGAGCACAATAAATCAATAGTTGTTAAACAGTTTGACCCAGTTAACCCTTTCCCCAGTTTTGAATAATATCTACTTTGGTATGTTGTGCCTGATTACTTCTCATTACAGAATAGGGTTCTAGAAATATAGTAAAATAAATTTTCTCAATTCCTATTTAAAATATCTGAGTTTACTTTTCCTACTCTAGAAGAAAATAATTCCAAGTTTTCACAACTTTTTTTAATCTTTCAGCATTCCTATGTAGAAGTATGTCAGCACATCACACGTAGAATAAAACTCAGTACATTTATGTATGTGTGTGTGTGTGTGTTCACCTTTGTGTGTAAGTTTACACTGTTTATAGGTAGGTCAGGCCAGAGATTATATTTCAGCAGATTATTTGGGGAAAAAGCAGAGATATATGAACATCAAATCACAAATTAACTCTGTAGTATTACCTCCACAAAATAAGCTCATATACCAAGTTGGATCAAGAGAACCAAGCACAATTCCAGAGATTAATTATACTAAATATGATACTACCTGCAGCATCAAAGGCAAATTGTTGCTTAGTATTTCTTAGGAAAACGTAAGTGAAGAAAGTTACACAACTCATATTTTTCTCATAGCTCCCACAATATTTTGTTCAACACTACTGTAAGAAAATATTTGATTCAACAGATTTGTTCATATGCAGCCAAAAATTATCAGGAAGTATCCAATTTTGAAGAAATAAAAGTCACTAAGCATCTGAAGAAGTCTTTAATTTGATGACCTTGAGATGTACTTATCTAATTAGTTTATTTCTAGTAAAGCCGACAGAGATTATATTACCTTATGCAATGAGTTACTGTACTACTGAATCTGTGCTATCCAATTTTTTTCTTGCTTTGTTGTATAGTTGACAATATTGTTAAAATAGCTGAAAAGTACTAAGAAAAAATATTCAAAGCTTGTAAAAACCCAAGTTTTGCAGAACAAATAATGTTTAAAACGAAAAAAGGAAGTTTAGTCACCTTTATTCTCCTTCCCTGAAATAATTCAATCAGAACATTTATAACCAATCACCTAGAATTTGACATATTTCCATTCTGCAAACAAGAGACCATTAGGTGGTAATTGCACAAAAGATATGTACATGCACCTTCAGATAGCAGAGTCTGGAAGAAGGTTGAAGAATTGATAGGAATGCTCATGAGGAGTTTGTTTCAGGTCACATTTGTCAGTATATTTATTGAAGTCTTATCTCTTGACATTCCAGCACTTTCTTGTACTATTAAGTAAAGATGGAGCTTTTGCTCCCAAGCCTCTAGTAGTGTACACAGACTTGCTACATCAACTCAGATAAACACACATTCACTGAATAATTCAACTCAGAACATTTCCTTGCCAAAACAAAAGCCAAATAAAGAAAAAAAATCACAAAACCTAGAAAGCCCTTTCTTTCTTTCTTTCTTAGAAAGCTACAGCTGGATTACTGGTTGTTGTAAGAAGGGGCTATTTATTCTATAGTGCTTTCAACATGTTATGAGAAGCGGGAACAACTGCAACAATTTTTATTAGCATTCTGATGGACCTGTATTTGGTCTCCTTTATGCAGGCAGTGCACTTTCAGACACAGTTATGACACACAACTATTGATTCTATGAACTTGCTTCATGTTGCTATAGTGAGGATGAAAAACAGTGTGTATAAAACAATGTGAGCGTAATAAAAACATAGCAATAGGCTTTTTACCACAGTGAAACATTGGTCTAACAACTATGCAATTTGTTTCAAAAAGAGTGAACAAATTATTATGGATCCTTTATCCTAATGAACTCTAAGAGAAGTGCCATATAAGCTTCTGCATAAAAATACCAAAAGACTTATTTATACCACACATTTAACACAAAGTTTAAAAACCTGCTTTTGCATAATATGTTAATTAGTTCCACAAATTTTCTCCTACATTGCAATAACAGAAATAATTTAAAATAATTTATACTTACATATTTCCACTTTGCAAACAAAAGACCATTGGGAACTTCTAAATGGCAAGGCAAAACAATGGTATCTCCATATACTGTGTTTACTGTATATAATCCAAGTCCTGTTAAAAACAATAAGAAACAGCTATTAATTATAAAATATTATAAAATATTTTATTATTATAAAATAAAACATTGGAATTTTCTAAGTCTTAGCTAAAATGTATGATTTTCAAAATTCAATAAATAATTTAATTAATTGGTTAAAAATAGTTTACACTGCATTAAATATTTGTTGTCTTTAATTTATCACAATTCAAAATAAAGCTAGCAAAGTTGGCAAAGCTCCATGACAGCAATTTTAGAAGAACATTGAGTTTCCTACTTTGTGGAACATCCAATATAAGCCTGTAATTTGCAATATTTGCATATTTATATATTCATATATATTTTGTATTTCGTGATTTGCCCCATTTTTTCCCACAGCGCACATGAATGCCTCCATAGCCACTACAGAGCACACTACATCTAACTGAATGATATGCTGTGGTAGTGCGCAATTCTTTCTTATTAGTCACTGGAACAATAAATTGTTCTAAAGTATTCTTATTCTATATTATTTGTGAATTAGATAATTTCCAAAGATGAGAAAAAGTTTCAATGTTAGCAGATAAAATTTCCCGGTGAATTCTGGATTTCTTGGAACTGCAGCATTACCAGTGATCTATCTTAATCCCAGTGGTGTGGTAGGGTCTTGAAAGTTTGGAAAATATTAGCTTGGATTCTCAAAAGGGATTGTAAAATATGTGAGGAAGTGAAGCTAAGATGCTCTTTCAGTGCTTGCATAGGCAGGCTTACATAGACAGGCTAATTCCCCAAGGCCAGGCTCAGTTTACCCCCTTCTCCAAAAAAGGCCATGGAAGTTTACAGCTTTGGAAATTTTAAGAGGAGATGGGAAGCACATGCTGGTGTTTTCAGGAATCTGACAATGTTCATAAACAGTTTTACCCCACTTATGTCCTTAGTCTACAAAGCTAACACAGCATAAGTCTGGCTATGTAAGAGAAAAGTTGATAAGAAGATAGCAAGCAGATGAGAAGGTAGAGGTAATATCTGGTAATTACAATTATTACAGGAAAGCAAATGGGCTATCAATCAACTGCCAGGATCACATTATCATGTGGTGTGATTCCTGCGTGGAGCTTGACTTGGAAGCTCAGCCGGAATGCTGAAAAGCAACATTGCTTAAAAGTGTAAAAGCCTGGAGTTTGGTAGCAACAAAGTAAGAACAACCACACTCAGGCAATACCTAATCCCAACAATTACAAGAACTTTTGGAGGGACTCAAGGAGTATATGTAAATTTTTAGATATTTACCTATTGGAAGGATAAAGCATCAAAAAGTTATTTATGGCTACATCAACTCGCAATGACTAGGAGGGTGGAATCAACTCAGGGCACTAATCTATTGTTGGGGAAAATATGTGCCACAAATAAGCATTTCATACAGTTATCTTCTACGAGGGCTATCCACAAAATAGATTATGTTTTCGTCTGTAGCAAGAAGGGGCGGAGCTAGCGTGGCCATCTTTGGTCTGTGCGTCCGCCGCTCAGTCTGCATCTAGTCGTGCTAGTGGGAGGTTCATATTGTTGCCCGTTATTTGACAGCTAACGTTTGAAATGTGTGCTGCAATTGAAAATCCCTCGAGTTGTGAGGTGCGATCAGTGATAAGGTTTTTGTTGGCAAAAAACCATAAACGGATTGAAATTTTTCGGCAACTGTGTGAAGTGTACAGGGACAACATCATCACTAAAGGTGGAGTGTGCCAATGGTGCATTAAGTTTAAAAATGGCCGAACTACGGCACTCGAGAAGTCCTGAATGCTTTCAAGTGGGAGATTTTTCCTCATCTGCCCTACAGCCCCGATCTTGCACCAAGCGACTACCACTTGTTTCCGAGGATGAAGACCTGGCTTTCAGATCATGCAAAAACATGTGAATAAGACGAAATCTTGAAGTTTCTTAATAAGAATGATTATGCAGACAGGCTGCAAAGTTCAATAAATATTAGACTAATAACATGTGGCATAGTACTGCAATAATTACATACTGTGGAAATGTCTTCATAACAGGTACTCTATGGACGTCTTTCATTATAGAATTACGTAATTATGCTAACGGTTGTACAATGGAGCTGGAAGCAATGGCCTGGGAAGGCTGGTTGGAAGTATATGAAGACTCTAGTAAATCATTTAGCAACAGCATACTTTCCAAATGTACATGCCTATTTGGTGCAATTCTGTTTTCATGTACAATTAGCTTGTTTTATTTGATCTTCGTTTTCCTTTGCTTGGAGCTTTCTGCCCTAATGCAAACATGTTTTCTGACCCATTCCTGAAACATCATTTCTGTCTCAGATCAGTTTTGAACTGCAATAAAAAGTGCTGCTAATAGTGGAGACTGGAATGCTAAAGTTGGAATATTGAAGAAGATATAATTGGACTGTTTAGTCTAGAAACTGAAATGAAGAGATTGATCACTTTTTGCCAATCCAATTATCTTTTAATCAATGACAGTCTTCCAATAGCCAAAAGAATTCCAATTTGCATGAGCATTATCAGATTGATTACACAGAAATATAGTATAGGTACTTAAAGAACCAGCTCATCCCACTGGAATTGGCTCATCCTACCTGTGCCAGCAGAGGAGGTATGCTATGGGTGTCATTGGATATTTTGCCTGCCCTGTGGAACATTTTGCCTCACAGAGTGAGGTTGGTTCCAACACTCTTGACCAGGGGTCGCCAATCTTTTGGATCTCAGGGACCACCAAACTCATAACATCCTGGGACCATTAATATGAATTTTGACTGATGGTAGCTTGCTGACATTGGTGGGGGGGGAGGGGAGAGAGGGGGGGATTCAAATTTCTTAACAACCGGTTCTGTTGGCATGGCCTAATTTGTGGGTGTGGCTTGGTGGTCATGTGACTGGCTGGGCATGTCTTGTATGTAAATATTATAAATATCTATGTAAATATTGAATTTTTTATAAAAAAGAGCAACTTTTACCCATAATCAGGCAAAGCAGGCAGATTGAGTTGCTCACAGAATCACAGATTAATCCAGAGATCTATCTTTCTGCCATCAGCTACCTGCACTGAATAACAGAAGCTTCAGTCCTAAGGAAGGTAAAGATTACCTAGAAAGCAAGAAATCCAACAATTTCTTGCTTTTTACTAATCTAAAACTCCTGGCACAGCAGAATAGCTGATCAGTCGGGGGAAAAAAAAGGAAAAATAGCAACTTAGCAGGCAAGTTTGCCAGGTAAGGAGTGAGTGGGCAGGGAGGGTTCCCACGGACCATGTGGGCAGCGCAACCTTGTGTTCCCGTGCAGCCTGGATTAATTGCTTTGGAGGGTGCTCTGAGGGTGACATTTCTCTGCAGACCACCAAAATTTTCTTGTAGTACCACCAGTGGGCCGTGGCCCACAGGTTGGCGACCACTGCTCTTGACCTTCTGTAAATACTTAAAGACATGGCTCTACCACTTGGCTGGGCTCCAATGGGGAAGCATCACAGTGGAGGTGATTAACAGCAGATGCCACTTTCCATCTTTTACTTGGATTGCATATTTAGCTGTGTTTAGTATTATATTTATGCTTTTATACTTTTAGTTCTTTTTATACACACACACACACACACAAAAGCTCACAATGGAGATTGAAAATGGTAATACAACCTGGTTCTAAGTTGGAAAAAGAATCAATGGCTGTATATGCTATCATTATTTATCATTTATACAACTTATATGAAGAATATATATTGAAGGAGATGACTACAGTTTTAAAATGAGTGGAAGTGACATCAGGGACCTAATCTACTCTGATAACACTACAGTGGTACCTTGGTTCTCTAATGTTTCAAAACTCATTGAATTTGGTATTCAACACATTTTGACATGAAAATGCTGTCCTGATACTCATTGCTTTTTGATACTCGATGCACTGTGATAGGAACAGAGAGCTGCAGAGAATGGACAGGAAGTCAGCCATGCCGGGAAGGTCTCTGATATAGGAAAAAGAAGTCCTTCCTGGACAAAACAAAGGGTCACATGATAAGACACATGGTTTTGTACTTGTCATTTTTAGTGCTCATTGTGTCTTCCAGAACTAATTAACAATGAGTATTAAGGTACCATGATACTTTAATAGCCAGAAATGCAACTGATCTACACTGGCCTGAAAGTGAAGGAGCACAAAAAATGAAACTACGATTAAATGTAAAGACCGAACTAATGATAATAAGTGTAGTCACTAGTCTTAGAATTGACAATGAAGATACTGAAGTGATAGCAATAGCACTTATATTTATATACTGCTTCATAGTGTTTTTACAGTCCTCTCTAAGTGGTTTACAGAGTCAGCATTTTGCCCCCAACAATATAGATCCCCATTTTACTGACCTCGGGAGGATGGAAGGCTGAGTCAATTTTGAGTCGGTCAGGATCTACTGCTAGCAGTCAGTAGAGTTAGCCTGCAGTACTGCATTCTAACCACTGCACCACTATGGCTCCTAAGTGATGGGTAGTTTCTGCCTTTTAGAATCTATTATCAATGTTAAGGAATGAGCAATCAGGAAATAAACCGCATACTAGCACTTAGAAAAGTAGCAAAAACCTTGGAGAAGATATTCAGGTACTAGGATATGTTTGTACTTTCTAAGATCAAAATTATGCAAGTTATAGTTTCTCCTTTGATACTCTATTCAAGTAATTGTAAACACAGAAGTGACCATTTACAATTTTGTTTTTAGTGTTACAGAAGACTCCTGGGAATACCATTAAATAAAATAAGTAATTAAAACAGAACAAATAATTCCAGAGTTGTCCGGAGGGAGGGAAATGTAGAAGAAAGAGAAATAGACAATGAAAAAGTTGGTAAGATGAATAAGCTGAATTACACAGTGCTTCACTGGAAAACCTTAAGAATCAGATAGGGGTCTGATCATTCTGAAGAACAATTATTTATATTGTTTCTAAAAATTGACAGGACTTGATGGCACACAATCATCAAGCATCTTAAATCGTTATAAGGCATGAGTTCAGAGCTGCACCTGGCTATTA